GCTTGCCTACCTGCCTCATGGCCCCTAACCACTCTGCCTGCCTGTCTGATCACCCCAACCACCTCTGCCTCCTGCCTGATAGCCCCTAACCACCTCTGCCTGCCTGCCTGATGCCCCTAACAACTCTGCCTGCCTGATGCCCCTAACTGCTCACCTGCCTGTCTGATCTCCCGTAACTGCTCGCCTACCTGCTGCCTGATTGCCCCTAACCATCTTTGCCTCCATCCCCACTGCTGCAGTTTCATCTGGAAGGACATCTGGAATGATGTCCAGAAGGTCATTTGGCTATCCAGTCTAATTAGCATATTATGCTTTTATTATTATAGATATACATAACATAAAATTTACCATTTTAACCATTGTAAGTGTGCAATTCAGTAGCATAAAGTACATTCACAATGTTATACAAGCATCACCACTATCTATTTCTGGACCATTTCATCATCCCAAACAGAAACTCTGTACCCATCTATACATAAAAAAAGGCTAATAAGCCAAGTGTCCCTGTGGGAGCTCGACCGAGAGACCGGGGGTTTGATCACTCTCTGTGACATGCGCTGACCATCAGGGGCTGGCACAGGATGAAGGGAGGCCCCAGCCAGCAGCTGGAAGGCCCCGATCGGCCCTGATCACTGGCCAGGCCTAGGGACCCTACCGGTGCATAAATGTCATGCACTGGGCCTCTAGTTAAACAATAATTCTCCATCTCCATTTCCTTTCTCCTACTTCTTTCTACTTTCTTTCTCTATGAATTTGCCTAAGTAGGAACCTCATATAATAATTGTCCTTTTGCATCTGGTTTACTTCACTTAGCATAATGTCTTTCAGGTTCACTCATATTTTAGCATGTGTCAGAATTTCATTCCTTTTTATGACTGAACACTATTCACTCACTTTGCTGAGCCTCAGTTGTTCATCTGTAACATGGAACAATAACAGCACAGTGGACTTCTCTGTGAATTAGAGGTGATAAGATATCAAGAACACTGGCCTCTCCCTATACACATCCTACCCTGTTCCTTTCCCTGAACCTGGCCCTGGCTCCGGCTCCTATTAAGCTCTTAGGAAATCCTCGTACCTTTTTCTGCCTGACTCAGGACTCTCCTTCAGCTGGCCTCAAGCCACATCTTCAGACACCTATCCAACCCCCTCAGATCTCTCATTGCTGCCTTTCACTCAGACTTACAGTTTTGAGCATCACACTTCCAGGCTCTTAAACCAGAAGGGCTCATTTTCTCTACCTGGACTTGTGCTCACCCCCAACCCCAACCCCTCCTTGTTCTATCTTTTCAATACATTTTGGTTTCATAAAGCAGAAGGAAGAAGTAGGATATTGAGCTGGGCCTTTAAGATTTGAGATGGTGGAGGGGAAGTGGGCAGTCATCACAGACTGGGGAGAGGGGACTGTGATAGTGGAGACTTTTCCTTCCTGATAATGGAGGAGGCCTATTTAAAAGAACAAAGCTTTTAAGCCAGACAGACTTTGGTCTAAAGTCTGGCACACCCATAAAATTGCTGTTTGGTCCTGGAAAAATTATAAAACTTCTCTCATCCTCAGTGTCCTCAAACAATAGCACCCTTCAGTCACTCTTACTGAGATAAGAGACACCAGATGCACACAGTAGGTCCTCTTTTGGTGCTTGTGTTGCCCACCTCAACCTCATCTAGGTATGTGGGATTCCTGGGAGGCCCTGAAAGTTCACAGAGTCTCACAGGGTCTCCAGAAGGTTGCAAGGTACTGTCAGACACAGGCCTGCAGGCTTCCCAGCATGTTGGGACCAAGCGAGGACCCAAGGCAAGGGGACCCAGATGTGTTAGGGAACTAGCCAGCTGGGTTGCTCAGTTACTCTGGTGAGGAGCCCTGGGAGGCCCTGCAGGGCCATCTGTCAGACTCGGGGGAGGGAAGGTGGTCAATGGAAATACATTTCTAATCTCAAGCTCCTGTCAGCCCAGCTAAAACCAGAATAGCTCATCTAACCACATCACATTTGGTTCTTAAAAAATAAATGTCTGTCTATGCCTTCTCAATTCTCTCCCTGTGACATCTATCCTGAACTATCTTAGAAAATCTGCAAATCATCTCACAATTATCTGTTTATTCATGGTTCCTTCCAATCCTTGGGTCAGAACACATCTAGACCAAAAACACCTAGTACAAGGACAGGTCTTCTCTGTGGAACCTCCAACTGCTCACAGACCACTAGTGAAGAGGTGCTTGTCACCTGTTGAGGCAGCTTTCCCTGCATTCCATAACTGGGGTCTCTTAAGCTCTTGGAAAAGACTTCCTTGTATTGAACTGGAGTTGGCCTCCCTGTCTATCCCCCTGAGTCTCTCTCTTTTTTTTTTTATTCCCCTGAGTCTTGCCTAGGGCTCTGAGGACATCATCCACAGATCTCTCCCTAGAAAACTTCTAACACATGCTGAGCAGTGGGGAAGAGAGATCTAATAATGGCTTTGGAAGGTAGAAGAAAGGAAAATTGTTTCCTGCTTTTACCCTACCATTCTTGTACAAAACCTTTCTAATGTCTGACATGCTCTTGGATTTATAAGCTCTTTGTTTTTTTAAAAAAAATTTTTTTTAAAAAAGAACACAACCTCTGTTTCTAATGGCCCCACAAAGATCTACAGGTGACATTATTCCTCAAGGATTCCTCAAGGGCCTTTGCTTGGGATCTTCTCCTCATCCAACCCTCCTTCTGGGATACTCTGGGTAAGGAACCAGCTTGCCTACTCTACTGAAGTCTTAGGTCATCCATCCATCCATCCATCCATCCATCCATCCATCCATCCATGGCAGTGTTTGGTCCTTCGGCTTCCTCAGTTTGCTGAATAAAAACAGTGAAGGCGAGACCCACTATGGGGTAATAGGCGAGGGGCAGGGGAAAGAGCCTGGTTGCTACTCATTGACTTGCTCTCTCAGAGCCTCAGTTTCCATATTTCTGTAACTATTATAAGAAGTAGAGGGAATGAGTCTGTCTGGTTTATTTAAAGGTGCTGGGTAATGAGCCTTTGAATCTGCAGGCAAATGGTCTGGTTTCCTCCATGGGGCACCTCACAAGCCAACAGTCATGAAGCCACATTGTCTCAAGAGTCCCTGAGGCATGTGTTAGAGATTTTCTAGTTCTTTTCAGATATAACTTACTCCAGTTCAACAAACTAAGATCAGAATTTCACTCTCATTCAGTTTAAAGCTTCCCAGGCTTCATCTGTGTATTTGAAGCCTATGATAGGAAAAGAGAATAGGGTCCATTTCTTCACTTGCTATGTTCTACACATACCCACTTGCTGGAATACTTGCTGCATGCTGGAGGCTAATTCCAGCACCCACTTCCAGCTGCTCCTGACATCTCCATGAACAGGACTCTAAAAGGGTGAAAGATTTGTTTTCCTGGTGCTATTGTAACTGCTGAAAGTGTAGTAGGTGGTAGGTGTCCACAGATCAGCTCTTCCTCTTCTGAATACCTTGGTAGGCTCTTTGCCAACCCGCCCCCCTGGAGTAGTACCCTCTGCAATATCTGCCTATTTTTTGCTGCTGTCTGCCTTAGACCCCTCATAATCATATCCAACAGTTCACTCCACACAGTTTCTTTTGGTGCCTCCTCTCGCCCTGCCAGGCAGTTCTCAAGGGTAGAGTTACAGGATGCTCTTCTGAGTTACCTTCTGTGGCCCCCACTTAGTTCCAAAGTAAAATATCAGTGCCAATCCCTGGACAGGCCAGCCACCCAGCCTCACTCTTCCCTCAGCCTCCAGGCAGCTCCAGCCCATCTCCTGACTTCAGATTTCTCTAAGTAAGACACTGCCACTGGTTGCCATGGCTTCCAAAAGCCAGCATACACATATGAAACTCCCTACTAGAAGGTCAATTGAAGGTCACTTCTTCCCCTTATAGCCATTTCATAGTCAGAAAGGCCCAGAGAGGGCAAGGGACTTTACCAACGCTACCCATCTTAGTCTTGGCAGATGGGGACCAAATTTCAGGCTTCTCCCTCCAAGGTTAGAGGTTTAGCTGTTCTCTGATGTACTTTATGTTCTGAAATTCAATGGAAAGGAGCACTTGAAAAAGAGTATGCAGCCTTTTAAATGGATCCTCTGGTAGGGGAGAGTGTGTGGGCTGTGGTGGGTAGATGGTGCTGGCCACACTGGGGGAAGGCTCTGTCTGGTGGGGGTGGTGCAACAGGCAGAAATGGGGCAGGGCATGGGGACCTACCATTTGCAGAACAGTCAGTGAGCTTGGGGCTTTGAAGAGAGGTAAAGGAATGGGAGGTTAAGAGCCAAGATCTTGGTCTGGGAGAGCTGGGTTCAAATCTCAGCTGTGCTCTGCAGGTTAGGTAACCTCTCTGGGTTCCCTAGTCCTCAGCTATTACATGAGGATAATCATCTTAGCCCAGTATCTGCCTCAGAGAAAGTTCTGATCACTATTCTCACCTGATTTCATTGGCTTATCAGATTAACCCTAGGTGGTAGGAACTATTAAGACCATTTTTCCAGGATTGGGGGTCGAAGTAGAGAGTAGAAGTTGAGAACAACCAGGGTCACCAGATGGGATGTGAATCCATATCTAGTCTGCTGAACTCTGTCCAGTCTGTCAGAAAAAGCCTGGGAACCCTCCCTGACTTGGCAGCCAGTCTGTCCTGATGGGTTTGTGCTCTAGAGGGGTGACTATCAGGGTCAGGAGAGAGATTGGCCTCTGACACCACTTCCTCAATGAGGAAACCAGGTTCCAAGAAGGGAAGTAACTTCCTCAGAGCCCGGGTATCTGAAGCTACCAAGAGTGATATGGGCAGGAAAAGAAGGAAGTGATGGGGGGTACAGAAAATGTTTCTCTACCCAATAGGAGCATGGCAGGGTCATGGCCACCTCACAGGCCTAGACAATGGTTCACACCCAGATCCACCTAGAATGGGAAGCAGGTGGGCTGTCCCTGAGCAGAACAGGATAATACTTAGGCCTTCCCTACACTGTCTTAAGGCTGAGGCAGGAATATGCTTCCTCCTACCCAGAGCTTTCCTGAGTACCTCCTCCAGAAGCCTCAAGAGATAGCCTGCAGCCCTGATCTGGTCCCTTCATGGGGAATGTGAGGCCCAGAGTGGCCACCCACAGAGCATAGATGGCAGTCCTGTGATCTACATCTGGCTTGAGCAAGACTCTCAAAGGAGGGAACTGCATCTGTTGGCCACCTGGCATCCTATCTCAAGGTGGGTTACCTTAGATCCCACATTATGGGGCTTCTGGCTACTTGCTGGCTGTCAGCGCTTTGTCTGCAGAGCCAGCACAGCCCTTCTCCAAGGCAGCATTCCTCAACTGAATAACCTGAAGTACAGCTTTGATTTGAAGAGGAATTTGAATGATAATTTTCAAAAATAATTTTAAATCAGTTTTTCTGATGTTTCAAATTTTTAAAAAACAGTTCATGGGATTGAATGACTGGTGTAGGTATGCGGCTTTGGGAATAGGCCAACCTAAGTTCGTATCCCAGATTCTGACCTTTACCAGGTGAGTGACCTTGGGCCTCCTCATCACCATCCTTACCTCCTTGGGTGTGTGTTTTCAATTAGATAATGGCTGTGATGTTCTTGGTGAAGTGTGTGGCAGGTGGACTCCACAAATAGAAATTTCACAAAGGGCAAAGCAATGGGCAGGTTTCAGGTGACAGAGGCAGTGGGTGGAAAGAAAGAAGTGAGAGACCTTCCTTCTGGTTGCATTGGCATTCTGTAAATGTCAGCCTGAGCCCATAAGTGAGGGGGACCAATAAGGAGCTCTTGATATTTAGAGGATGAAGTTGGTAGGGTACAGGAAGAGAAAGTCAGGGTGGACTATGGATGGAGTGATCTGGTGCTGGGTCTTGTACTGTGGACCTGGAGAACCAACTAATTAACTGATTAACTGATTGAATGATTAGTACATTTGTTTCCTCAACAGCATACTTCCCAGCTCTGAACAATGAATCATAACTCACCCCCTTGAGGAGGTGGCTGAGGGTGCAGTCTCAGGAAGGTTGCAGCTCCTGGGGACTCGGGCACTTTCTTATAATAGGCTAGTCATTTTTTATGGTAGTATCACCTGCTAGTACCACCTGCTAGTGCCTCTGGCTCCGAGCAGACAATGAACAAGATTCTTGAGATGGTGGCACTTTGGGGACATGAGCTCCTGGGGACTCGGCCTGCAAGGCCCCTCACTGCCTTCTGCTTCCTCCAGAACAGCCAATGTAGGTTCAGTTTTGCTTCTCTTTCTACTCTGAGAATAAGGACAGGGATTCCTATGGAGACTCAAGTTGAGCATGGACTGGCAAGAAAGAGGAGAGTGTCTTATTGCAGGGCTAGAATCCTGTCAGAGTTCACTGTTCAACTCCTTGCCATCTCTCCCAGGCACATCATGGAGTAATAATAGGTCCCTTGTCCTACTTCTGTCTGTGTGATCTCAGCTAGGCCCTTCACTTCTTTGGACCTCAGTTTCCCCAAGGGCTGGGAGAGGGCACTGGACAAGATGCCTCCCTTATGGTGATCTGTGGAGTTCAGACCTGAATGCTGATGTCCAGCTTAGAGTGACCTCCTCATGGGGAAAGGGCAGGAGGCCTCCAGATTCATTTTCCTTCTGCCCTGTAGGTCCAGAGGGAGGGAAAAGACTGAGACTGAGGGGCAAGAAGCCATAGTCTCCTTGCTGGTTAGTGGGCAAATTGCTGTCCATGAAAGCCACAGAAATGGAAGTCTGGCCCAGCTTAGCCCAGAAACATCAGCCTGGACACTGAAGCTGTCCCAGGCCCCAGAATAGGACTGCAGAGGGTTTGGGGTACAACTTTTTTCTGCTGGTGCCCTGAGTGGCCAATTAAGGTCCAGACACCCTGATTGTCACCCTGTGGGCAGTGGAGCCTAGGCCTAAGGAATTTCTAGGAATGCGGAAGAAAGAATAAGCTTGGGGTCCTAATTACTACAGGCCTAAAGATACCACTATTCTGAGTTTGTTGAGTGTGGGCTGGGTTTGACACAGGGCCAGTTAGTATAACTAGGGCTACCTCTACCCTTTCCTACTACATCTGACCTTCCTCGGGAGTACCACCAGCTTTGACTTTAAGACAGTAGACTTCCACCTCCAAGAGTGTGTGGAAGCTTCCTTGATTCTCTGAGCTCTGAGAGATGGGGATATGGTGTGTGAGATCAGAGAAATGGAGCTCTTTTTCCCAGTTTCTGAGGCTATCTTGGGGTCTCTGAAGAAAGAAAAGAAGGCATTAGGTGCTGAATCTTGACCTGATTTCCAATTACCTGGCTGAGTGCCCTCAAGGGTTTTGGACCCTTCCTCAAGAATGGATGCATGGACAAGAAACCAAGGTAAATGCTGGTACTCACTGCCTCCCCAAACCACTTCAAAATTATAAATAAATACAGAACAACTTTCATTCATAACCACCTCAAATTTGGCTGAATAGAAGCCCTACAGCTAGAGAATTAAAGAAGGAACCACACCGAGTCTGGAAGGAGGGGTGGAGGCATGGAACAGGCTGGTCCGACACCCACATGTGGCGTGTTTTTAATTGGGAGGGATATCTTAGCCACAGAGGCCCCCCATGAGGAGCAAGGGGTCCCAGCCCCACACCTGATCCCCAGCCTAGGGATCCAGTGTTGGGAAGAGAAGTCCCCATAATTTCAGGCTGTAAAAACCAGCAGGGATTTTGGCTGAGTGACATAGAGGCTGCTGGACTCTCGGGCAATTCCTCTTAAAGGGCTAGTGCACAGACTTACTCAAACTCTAAGCTCCAGCACTAGGGTAGCAGTTTGAAAGGATCCAGTGTCATACAAGGAGAAACTAACTTGTGTAGCATGAGGGCAAGAACTCGGGGGGCAGCTTTTTTCCAGACAAAAGTGTTGGCACCTCCCCCCAACAGAGCTGACTGGCAGGCACCATATCTGAGCCTCCATCAATCTGGTCCACACTGTTCAACCCACCTTGATGATCCCTGAGATTCCACCCCACCCAATTTGCAGCCCCACCCAGGCTGTTTATAGTGGCTTTTCCATACAAATGGCCTATTCTGGTTCAGGCTTCAGACTTTTCTAAAATCTCTCAAACAAGCATCAGCTGGACTCAGTGTGCCTCAGACCTCTCAATAAGTGGCCCCAGGCCCAGCACTAGCAACAGCTTGCTAAGGTGCACAGCTTGGCCTCTCTGGGAACCTCCAAGCCCAACAGAAGTAGCAGCCATCTGCAGGTTGGCTCCAGGCAGGGCACAGGCAGTGGCTGACTTTGCACTTCCTGGAAGGCCCCAGAGCCAGGGCACCCAGTGGACAGCCTCAGACCACATCAGATTACAACTCTACCACATCTACGAGTGACACACTCAAAGGATGGACTTGGTAAGCGGCAACGCCCCACTGAAGCCTGTCCTGCTCCATAGGGATATCTCTTGCACTGCAGCTCTCCCACTGTAGACATGCTGGTCCTCACAGCCAGTTGGCCTTGGGGTCAATTCCTCCCCATGATGCCAACAGCAATCAAGGCTCAACTACAACAGGACAATGCACACAGCCTACAAAGGGCACACCTAGAGTGCCCAGCTCAGGTGGGACTGGGAAGGCTGAGCCACTGGACCCTATAGGACACCTACTACACAAGCTCATAGTACCAATTCCAGGAGACATAGCAGCTCTACCTAATACATAGAAACAAACACAGGGAAGCAGCCAAAATGCAGAGACAAAGAAACATGTCACAAATGAAAGAACAAAAAAAAAAATCTCCAAAAAGACCTAAATGAAATGGAGGCAAGCAAATTACTAGATACAGAGCTCAAAACAATGATTATAAGGTTGCTCAAGGAAATTAATGAGAGCTTCAAGGGACTAAGTGAGAATGTCAAGGAACTTAGTGAGAATTTCAAGGAAATAGTGAGAACATCAAAGACATGAAAAAGGACCAGTCAGCAATGAAGGCTACACTAACTGAAATGAAGAATAATTTACAGGATATCAAAAGTAGAGTAGAGGATGCCCAGAATCATATCAGTGACTTGAAATATGAGGAAGCAAATAATGCCCAATCAGAAGAGCAAAAATAAAAGAATCCAAGAACATAAAAATAGTGTAAGGAGCCTCTGGGACAACTTCAAGCGTACCAACATTTGCATCATGGGGGTGCCAGAAGGAGAAGTGAGGGAGGAAGAAATTGAAAACCTATTTGAAGAAATAATGATAAAAAAAACTTCCCCTATATATTGAAAGAAAGACATACAGGTCCAGGAAGCACAGAGAGTCCCAAACAAGATGAACCCAAAGAAGCTCACATTAAGACTCATCATAATTAAAATGCCAAAGACTAAGAGAGAAACTTAAAAGCAGCAAGAAAAAGGAATTAATTACCTACAAGGGAGCACCCATACAACTGTCAGCTGATTTCTCAACAGAAACTGCAGGCCAGAAGGGATTGACAAGAAATATTTAAAGTGATAAAAGCAAGGACTTACAACAAAGATTACTCTACCCACCAAACCTATCATTTAGAATTGAAAGTCAAATAAAGAACTTCACAGACAACAGAAAACTAAAGGAGTTCATCACCACTAAACCAGTATTACATGAAATGTTGAAGGGTCTTCAAGAAGAAGGAGGAGCCCTGACTGGTTTGGCTTAGTGGATAGAGTGTCAGCCTATGGACTCAAGGGTCCTGAGCTCGATTCTGGTCAAGGGCATGTACCTTGGTTGCAGGCATATACCCAGTGGGGAGTGTGCAGGAGGCAGCTGATCGATGTTTCTCTCATTGATGCTCCCTCTCCCTTCCTCTCTGTAAAAAAATCAATTAAAAATATATTTTTTAAAAAAAAGGAGGAGGAGAAAGAAGAGAAGTAGGAGAAAGATAAAAATATGAATAATAAAATGGCAATAAATACATATCTATCAACACTTAACTAAGGAAGTAAAAGACCTATACCCGGAAAACTACAGGACACTGAAAAAAGAGATATAGATGGAAGAACATACCGTGTTCGTGGATTGGTAGAATCAACATCATCAAAATGTCCATACTACCCAAGGCAATCTATAGATTCAATGCACTCCCCATTAAAATACCAATGGAATATTTCACAGACCTAGAATGAACTCTCCAAAAATTCGTCTGGAATAAAAAAAGACCCTGAATAGCTGCAGCAATCCTGAGAAAGAAGAACAAAGTAGGTGGGATCCCAATACCAGATGTCAAGCTGTATTACAAAGCCACTGTTCTCAAAACTGCCTGGTATTGGCACAAGAACAGACATATAGATCAATGGAATAGAATAGAGAACCCAGAAATCGACCCAGGCTACTATGCTTAATTAATATTTGACAAAGGAGGCATGAACATACAATGGAGTCAAGACAGTCTCTTCAATAAATGGTGTTGGGAAAATTGGGCAGATACATGCAAAAAGATGAAAGTAGACCACCAACTCACACCATACACAAAAATAAACTCAAAATGGATAAAGGACTTAAACATAAGACGGGAAACCACAAACAGAGGAATCCACAGGCAGCAAAATCTCAGAAATATGCTGAAGCAATTTCTTCACTGATACTGTTCCTAGGGCAATGGAAACTAAAGAGAAAATAAACAAATGGGACCACATAAAAATAAAAAACTTTTGCACAGCAAAAGAAACCATCAACAAAACAACAAGAAAGCCCACTGCATGTGAGAACATATTTGCCAATGTTATCATCGATAAGCGTTTAATCTCCAAAATTTACAGGGAACTCATACAACTTAACAAAAGGAAGATAAACAACCCAATCAAAAAATGGGCAACATACCTAAATAGATACTTTTCAAAAGAAGACAGAAGGAAGGCCAAAAGACATATGAAAACATGCTCAAAGTCACTAATCATCCAACAGATGCAAATCAAAATGACAATGAGGTACCATCTCACACCTGTCAGAATGGCTATCATCAACAAATCAACAAATGACAAGTGCTGGTGAGGATGAGGAGAAAAAGGAACCCTCGTGCACTGCTGGTAGGAATGCAGACTGGTGCAGCCACTGTGGAGAACAGTATGGAGTTTCCTTAAAAAACTAAAAATGGAACTTCCATTTGACCCAGTGATCCCACTTCTAGAATATTTCCCAAGAAACTAGAAACACCAATCAGAAAGGATATATGCACCCCTATGCTCAATTCACCATAACTAAGATTTGGAAACAGCCTAAGTGCCCATCAGCAGATGAGTGGATTAAAAAACAGTGGTACATCTACACAATGGAATACTATGCTGCAGTTAAAAAGAAGTTCTTACCATTTGCAACAGCATGGATGGAACTGGAGAGCATTATGCTGAGAGTGAAATAAGCTAGTAAGAGAAAGATAAATATCACACGATCTCACTCATTTGTGGAATATAATGAACAACATAAACTGATGAACAAAAACAGATCCAGAGACAGAGAAGCATCAATCAGACCATCAAACCTTAGAGGGGAAGTAGGGGAGGGTGGGGGTAAGGGGGAGAGATCAACCAAAGGATGTGTATGCATACATATAAGCCTAACCAATGGACACAGACAACAGAGTGGTGAGGGCATGGTGGGGGGATATGAGGGGGGAAAATGGGGTGATAAAGACACATATGTAATACCTTAATCAATAAAGAAATTTTTTTATTTTTTTTAAATATATTTTATTGATTTTTCACAGAGAGGAAGGGAGAGAGATAGAAAGTTAGAAACATCGATGAGAGAGAAACATCGATCAGCTGCCTCCTGCACATCTCCCACTGGGGATGTGCTCGCAACCCAGGTACATGCCCTTGACCAGAATCAAACCTGGGACCTTTCAGTCCGCAGGCCGACACTCTATCCACTGAGCCAAACCGGTTTCGGCCTTAATCAATAAAGAAATTTTTTTAAAAAAAGGATAGCCCTAGCCATTTTGGTTCAGTGGATAGAGCATCAGCCCATAAACTGACGGGTCCCGGGTTTGATTCTGGTCAAGGACACATACCTCAGTTGTAGGCTCCATCCCCGACCTTGGTTGGGGCATGTGCAGGAGGCAACCAATCAATGTGTCTCTCTCACACTGGTGTTTCTCTCTCTGTCTCCCCCCCCCTCCCTTCCACTCTCTTTAAAAATCAATGGAAAACTATCCTCAGGTGAGGATTAACAATAAATAAACAAACAAACAAACAAACAAACAAACAAACAATTGAATCTAAAATCAAAATAAATGAACAAAGAGTCTAATGGATAAAATAAACTGATGAATAAAATAGAATCAGAGGCATAGAAATGTGGAATCGAGTAATGAATCTCTGAGGGAAGGGGGAAGGGTAGTGTGAAGAGATTAACCAAAGGACTTATATGCAAATATGCATTACCCAAGGACACAGACAATAGGGTAGTCAAGGCCTGGGGTAAGGTGGAATCTGGGTGGAAGAGAGCAACAAGGAGGGGAATAAAGGGCAGGATATCTGTAATACTCTCAACAATAAAACATATATATATAATATGAATGGATGTTGGGGCCAGAGACATAAAAGCCTCTGTTTTCAGTATGACATTTCATCACCTCCTCCCCTGGCAGTCAGTGAGCTTTGAGGGGGCAGCCTGACCCCAAGACCCACTCCCTAGACCTAGAGATGTCTTAGGAGAACTTCTGTCCCTTCCTAGTCCTTGAGTATAACCTCCCTCCCCAACTTCCTACACCAGAAGTTCAGAGTCCACTCCAGGGATGAGAAAAGAGAATTAGATGGCTCAGAAACAGTCACCAAATGCTGGGTGGGAGGTAAAATAGGACCTGTGTCTTGAATTCTCCAAGACGCACTTCCTCAACTGCCCTGGTTAAGAGGTGGACCTGGGGCGAACCAGCTTTTGTGCCAAATGTGCTAGGTGTGCTAGATGTGCCCTACGTGTCCTAGATGTATGAAATGTCCTACCTGTGTTCTAAATGTGTGTTGGTGTGCCCAGTCCTGACTTAAGTCACCTTCAGAGCCTACCTTACTTGGTGGGCATGAGAGGATTACCTGAGCCCACACAGACAGCCCATATAGTGCAGAGACCATATAGTGTAGAGGTTAAGAGCATGGACTTGACCCAGATGACTTTCAAGCTGTGTCACCCTGGGCACATTTCACCCATCTGTGACTCAGTTTTCAAAAACAGCTGAGATAATAGGGTTATTAAAACAATGACAGGAGCGAGCAGTGCAGGGGACCCTGTAAAGGCTGTCATCATGGGGCCTTGGTAATGGCTCTTCCCATGGCTGTCCTGCATTAGGGAGTTGTTGCCTCCTGGACTGTAAGCTCTGATTCCAGGTAGGTCTCACTTACGTACCTGGTATCTTTACATGTGGAGTACTGGGGAGAGGTGGGGCCTTCTGTGTGCCTGTGTGAAGCCAGGTCCTGAATCTTAAGAGCTTTTGAATGAGGAAGATAGGGGGCAGAAGGGGAGGTGGTCAGAGGAGTACTTGCCAGGCTATGCTCTCCACCCAGCACTGTCTAGTATGGCCCTCTCACATCCCTGTGTTCTGTATGACAGTGCAGGGACTTCACAGCCCACACAGGCTACGAGATGCTGCTGCAGCGGCTGCTGGATGGCAGGAAGATGTGCAAGGACATGGAAGAGCTTCTGAGGCAGAGGTGAGCACCAACAGGGTCGGCAAGGGTAGGTGTAGGAAGGAGGCTACCCTCCACCTAGTTCTGGAAAATGACTGAGGCTGCCCAACCCAGCCAACCTGCTGTCAGGAAGAGGGTGGTGGGGATAAAGAAGGTGAAGAGATTAGCCAAACATATAAGTATAGCCCATGGACACAGACAACAGTGTGGTGAAGGCCAAGGTGGGTAAAGGTGGGTGAAGGTGGGCAAAGGATGGGGGAAGTGGGGGACATCTGTGATAGTGTCAACAATAAAAATATAAAAGTAAAAAAAGAAAGAAAATGACAACCATTTTTTCCTGATATTGAAAATATGAGTACATAAAAAAATATTCAAAAAGTTGGACCATTTCTCTTAAAACGTATTGCCTTTTCCTATATTATGTTATAACATATTTTATACATAAAGTTATTTTCCTTACAAAAAAAACAAAGTCATGACTGTGGCTTTCCTGTGTTTCCCCAGATGTGGGCCTTCCCCAAGTGGGAAAATAATACCAAGACTCTTCAGATGTCCCTGTATTTGGCCAAACTTTATTTAGAATGGGTGTGGGGAACCTTTTTTCTGCCAAAGGCCATTTGGATATTTATAACATTATTTGTAGGCCATACAAAATTATCAACTTAAAATTATATTGCTATGAAAAAAACTTCTAGATTTATTGAATTCTGACTCCTGCCTGCGGTTGTCTTGGCAGGGCCAGACCAAATGATATGGCCTGCAGGCTGGACGCTCCTCACCCCTGATTTGGAGAAAGTGCTGGGGGCTTAACTTTCTGAAGGAGGAGCCTGGAAAACCAACCTGCTCCCAGATGCTAAGAGGGTGGTTTCTCCGGTCCTGTCGCAGACTTTTGAGGGATCTGCAGACATTTGAGGGAGCCATGGCCAACAGAACTGGAGGAGATGCAATGCCCATGCTTTGTTCTTGCAGGGCCCAAGCAGAGGAGCGGTACGGGAAGGAGCTGGTACAGATCGCCCGGAAAGCAGGTGGCCAGACAGAGATCAAGTAAGAGGTCCCAGAGCCTGGGCTTCCTCCTCCATTACCAGGCACTTTCTGGGCATTTAGATAGGGTTTAGGGTGGACTGGGCATGGCCAGGAAGGGTCTGGGTGGCTCCCAGGGCAGGGATGGACAGCTCTCTTGGGTATTGAGAGGTCAGATTCTGTGTATGGGAGAAAATCCAGTGGTCTGGGTGGTGGGAAGGTCCTGGGCAGGAGGGCAGGGGTCATGTGTCCTCAGGCACTTGCAGCATAGCCATACAACCTCCCCCAAAGTCCTAGAGCCCTGAGGGGCGGGTGACAGGCCTTCCATGAGCTGCTGAGTCCCTTACAGTGTTGGCTCAGTCTAGGCTGCAAGGTGAGGACACCAGCTCCTCACCCACAAGCTGTGTAATCATGGTCTGGTCACTGACATTCTCTGTGCCTGTTTCCTTATCAGTGAGTCAGGATAATAATGCAACCTTCCTCAAAAGATTAAAGGAGTCCAGGGGCTCAGTTTAGGCCTAGTTATCAGGAGAGGCAATAAAGGCAGCTGCTGGGGTGAAGCAGCCAGGCTTTTTGAGCCTTGAAACCTGGGTCTCTGTGTGCAGAGAGCTGGGCAGAGGAGCAGATGGGGAGAGAGTGATAATTTGAGAGTGGCTGAAGGAGAACTTTCTAACAGTGGAGGGGCTACCTTGGGAAAATGTGAACTCTTCTCCAGGGTGAGGACTGAGCCAGCCTGAAAGACAAAACACTGGACTCTAAGTTCTAAAAGGGCTCTGATGAGTCCTTCTCCTACCCAGGAGCCCCAAGACCTGACCTTAGCCTGCAGCTGCCATAGCAACCCCTGCTCCTGGAAATCAAGCCTATGAGTGCCTGGCTCTGCTCAAGGAAAGTGACCCCAAAACCTGTCAGCTCCAAAGCCATTTCAGTGCCCTGAACACTCTCTAGTCTAGGTCTTCTAAAGATCTAGGGGACCCTGGCTGGTTCCTGCTTCCCACCTGGATCCAGAAAAATCATGGGAAAACCTAAAGGAAGATTTTAAAATGTTATGAACCAGAGGAGATAAATGCTCAGTTTGTGCATTGGACCAAAAAATCATGAATGCAAAGAAAGAATTCATGAGCTCTAGTCCTCACTCAGCTTTTGTGAATTGTGTGGCTATGAGCAAGTTGCTTAACCTCTCTGAGTTTGGTTCTCATCTGCCCAATCCAGGGGACTATTGTGAAGATCAACAGGAACATGGGCTGAGGGTCTTCCAGGGGCAGGGCCGAGGTTGGAAACAGGATGGGCACAGAGGAGGGCTGAGGACATGGTGATGAATGAATGGAATCTCTTGGGGCCCTTCTTTGTCCCAGTTAGGGAAGCATGACCAGGAAGGAGTCCCTGCCTACCTCCTGGCTTCCTAGGCCAGCTGTAAAAGGAAAACTTTCCCAGAAAAAGAGGAGTTGGAAGGGTGCTCCAGGCAGGGTCATGATGGGAGCCCAGGCTAAGGAACTGTGAGTCACAGGGGACTTAAAACAGGAAGAAGAAGCCACTAAGGAGGAGCATAAAATGAAAGTGGAGCCAGGGTGGGCAGTGGGAAGGATGGAGAGGTACACAATATCTTGTCTGGGTTTTAGAACTATGAAGTGGCCAGGGCTATGTTCTGGGCAGCCCTGATCTCCTGTGTGGTCATAGGAGGCTGAGTAGGGCAAGGTCTGCCCTGCCCTATTTAATGTGAGAACCTGGGGTGGCCATTCCCACTCTGAGTCCTGGGTTCTAGACTATGAAACGGATCAGTCACTTTCAAGATTTGCTCTGGGCAGTCACAATGTTGAGCAGAGAGCAGCAGCCCATGGGAATGTCTAATAAATATGGGGTCTTAACAATTTCACAGGCTGTTCAATAAGTCAGATAATTGGGGTCATCCTGCTTAGTTTGGGGCTGAGAGGCCTGACTGGGCAGCCTCAACCATTTCTTTGGGACCCAGCCCCTCTCTGAACCAGAATGCTGGAAACTGTGAGCCCCTGGAGGGGGAGCCTTCCTCCAACATGGGAGCCCCAGGCTGGGGCAAGGAATAGAGTCTGGGTCTGCCTTGTTGCCCACCGGGAGGAGCTGGAGCCTAGGCTGGGTATGCTGAACCTGCAGCAGGAGAGACAGAAACAAAACCTGCAGGGGCCTTTACAGCTCAACCATGGAGGGTCCAGAGCAGGCCAGGAGTAGTGTGTGCAAACCAGCACTGCCTCCAACTCCCTATCAACCTGCGCCGACCAGAGGAGCAGGGCACAGCAGGGTGGAATAGGGAGGACTAGGGAGGAAACACCCTGGGAAATGTAGAAATGGAGGGGAGGTGTCTTTCTGCCAAAGGACTGACATGGACAAAAGCTGGAGGTGGGAAAGTGCAAGGCACATTCAGAGGCAGGAATGGAATAATCTCAGCTCACTGGCTGCCTCCCTTAGAGCCATGCCCCATGCAGCTCCCAGCACACAATAGGTTCTTAATAAGTATTGCTGTTGAGTCCCATGGCATATACCAGGGTTAGTGAGACCATTCCATTATTCCTTTCTCTAACTATGAACCAAGTACCCATACCCATCCATTTATTCAGCAAACATGTATGGAGCACCTACTATGAATTTCCCCACACTAAGTCAGGGGGATTCAAAATTTTAAAAATAAATAAAATAAAGGGCCCCACCATCCTGAAGCCAGAGTCTAGTACACTGAGGGTGATTTCATCTTCCCTCCCTTTAGAACCCTCTAATGCCTATCACCTCCAGGAAATTCTCCCAGACACTCTAGCTTTGCCTAACTATCAGGGTCTTGGATTTGATCAGATCACCCCATTCCCACACCAACCTGGAGGGCTCTTTGTGGAAAGAGTGAATGACAGCCTGGGTCACTTCTGTGTTGTGGACATTTGTGGAAGTATATTTGTGGTTAGCCCCTCTGGGAAAGGTGGCTTGACTATTTAGCTTGGGGGATGGCACCTCCTCCTGTAGAGGGAGCCCTTAGCCTCCACATGGCCAAGATCCCCAGGTCCCACAAGATGCTCATTCTCAGTCCCTTGGAGGGCAGGCAGAGGGCAGGGGATGCACAGGTTTGGTGGAGGCAAACAGACAACAAAGCAGGAAGTTAAGTGACCCCAGAAATAGCCCAGCGAGAGCCAAAAGGGCAGAGCTGATTGGCCTCCCTCGCCTCTGCTGCCGGAAGATGAAGCATTTCTGCATCAGCCTTGCCCTCAGACTGGCCAGAAACCTCACTGGGGTCTGGAGGATCAACCACATACATTAAAGGGAGGTTATTCCTGTCTTCAAATGATTTTTCTCATTCACCTCCTTCGCATATTAAATCAGCAAACATCCACTGGGCAATGGAGAATGCACAAATAAGACTTGGTCCCCACACTCAAGAGATCCCATAAGCCCTTTCAATGCATTTTAAAGACAACATTAGGAAGGCAGAGGACTCTATCACTATTGCTTCTAGCCCTGCAGAAAGCTCACCTGGACTCTTCCTTCCAACTGCCAGGCCTTTACTCTGACTGTTGACCCCTATCTCTTCCCTCTCCAGTGTACCTGCACTTTGAGCTTTGGCTGAAATATCACCTCCCCCCAAAAGCTGCACCTCCTCCCCCACTTGCTCATCCTGGGTGCTGGGCATGTGCTTCCAGAAGCTGCAAAGGGCAGGGATTCAGGAAATGAAAAAGAATCAAGGTGGGCAGGGTTGGAGCCAATTTCCTTGTAAGCCTCTCTGTGGTTACCTCAAGCAAGGACAGCTCCTGAAGGAGGATGGACTTACACCATTACATTCCCACATCACTCCCACCTGTCATAGCCTAAAATGCTGTGGTTTTCCTATCAGGAGAGGGTTTTGTTGTTGCTGTTGTTTCCATAATTTCTCTTCCTCTGAGCTCAGAGAATGAAGATATCACTAAGGATGTTGGAGGGAGACAAGCGGGCCCTGTTACCAGAAGGGGTCCTCTGACACCAACTCACTTCAGGCCCAGCCTCCAGCACAGGGAGGTGAGAGGAGCCACTCCTATCAGCTGGGAGGCAGCAGCCTCCTGGTGAGCCGGTGGGCAGTGGGTAGGGAGGCCAAAGCAGGGGCCTGAGGTGGGTCATGCCACATGGTGGAAACGTTACAAAAGACAATATTTATATTGGAAATGTAGGCTGTGTTTGAGCATAGAATTTCAGGCTGAACATCCTGAGAGCCAAGTCAAAAGGGGCATCTGGATGAGATATACACAAGGATAGCAGTGACTAATAGCAGAGGGCAGAGGTCTGCCCGGGGTTCCTGCCCTTGACATGCAAAGAAGACACAATAGAGGAGAGTTCAAGATCTTGGAAACAGTTTTTCTGAATGGCAAAGGGGAAGAACCTGGGGATGATAGAAAAGCTAAGAGAAACTATCTTTGCTGGGTCTCGTGGGGCAGAGAAAGACTTCAAATGGTCCCCAAATCCTCTACAAGAGTTTAAGGCCATTCCCCTGATGAGAGTTATGAGGATTGAATAATTTAGGCCAGCAGCTCTCACATTTGAATGGACATCAGCAGTACCTGAGGCTTAATACAGTATTCTGGGCCCCATTGTGAGTTTCTATTTCAGGACTGGGGTGGAGCCTGAGGATCTGCATTTCCAACAAACCTCCAGATAATGTTGATGCTGCCAATGTGCAAATTACACTTTGAAATTCACTTAGTTTAGGGCTAGGGGTCTGGCATTGAGTGGACCCCCCACAGTTCTCTAGGCTCGGATCCCTGTGGGTCCTGCCAGGGTGCTGCATCTGCTTGGCCTCAGTTTCCCTGACTGTCCAATGGGATGAAGGAGTCCCCTGGAAGCCTGCCTTGCATGGATTGCTAGGAGATGCCGGCAAGAGGGCAGGAGCCCTGGGGTGTCCTGGGCAGATGTTGTATGGCCATGTGGCCACCAGCGGACCTGCGCATTGCTCTGCAGAAAGGCTGGGCCAAGGGCAGCTGCCAGATGCATCCAGGACAGAACATGTCCCTGTTGCCTCTGCATGACCCCAATAAGCCTGGACATTCTCTGGCCTCAGTTTCCCTATCTGCTTCCACTCACTGTGGCTCCTCAAGCATCCTGGTGAGGGGAAAGCCACAGTGGATTTTGCCTCCTTGATTAAGAGGCTACAAACACAGGCAGAGAATTTTACCCCTGGGAATGAACAAACTCTTACATGGAACACTGGAGATATAGCTCAGGCTAGGTTCAGGGGCCTGGGTGACCCCCAGAACTGGGGGGTGTGCAGTTGTGGACTCAGGAAAGGGCTGCACAATATCTGGATCCCAACAGAGATGCTTTGTACATATAAATTCATTTAATCCTCACAATAATCCTGTTTGTGTTATTATTATCCCCATTTTACAAAAGGGGAACTGAGACACAAAGAGTATAATTAACTTGTCCAAGGTTACACAGAGCCTGGACTGAACCCAGGTTGGCTGGCTCTAGCATCTGCATGTGGGAATCCAGAACAGGAGCTCCTATCCAGGGCCTGCTGGGTTCCTATGCTGGGATTCCAAATCACCTCTCCTGCACAAAACAGGGAACTCACCCCTCTGAAAGCTGATGGGCACTCTGCCCACCCACGCTGTTTCTGACCCAAAGAGCACTCTGCCTCATGGTGCCACATTATCTATCAGCCGACAGAACTTAGTCCTGGCTGGGCTCCAACATCTTTGCTTAGGCCTCAACTTGGTTCATGGTTCTGTGTACAAGCCCCCTCGGCAAGGTTGCCAGGTAAAATACAGTATTCCCAGTTAAGTTTGGATTTCAGATAAATAACAAGAGCTTTTTAAATGTAAGTACGTTCAAATATTTAATGGGGAATACATACTAAAAATGTATTAGTTGTTTGATCTAAGTCCAAATTTAATTGTAGTCCTGTATTTTTATTTGTTCCATCAGGCAACCCCTACCCTCTGGTGTCTTCCCCTACCTTCCATGCCAGGTGCCAGCCTCTTCCCTTCCTGCTCTCCCTGCTGCCCACCCTGCTGCCTTATGACTCCTTCTTCTGGTTTCTCTCAGGCACCTCAGGTTCAGCACACCATAAAGTAAACTCCTTATCTTCCCTCCTGGGTCCCCCTCAGAGGTGTCACCAGTGTCCACCAAGCCACCCCAGCCAGGGGCCAGAAATAGTCTCCCACTGTTCTCATCTGCACATCCTGTTCTCCCTGATGCCCTCCCCACATTTCTCTCCTCCTTCACCCCTTCCCTGCTTGCCCCCTCCCATCCAGCTTCCTCCAAAATATCCTCCAGGCCACCTGCCTAAATCCAGGTCTAAACCCTGCCTCCTCCTACCTCAGCCAGGAGAGGGGCTCCAAGGAGGGAGGAAAGGGGCCCTGAGGACATGCAGAAGCCAGGAGCATTCTGCCCCAGTGGGGAGATTTGATTGCTTTATAATTTCCAAAGAAAAAGGTTTGCCTTCTAGAAATCCCAGCTCCCTTGGGTCTATCTAGGTCAGTGTATGTGAGTGAGTGACCTAGGGCCTTCCCACCAAAATAAAGTTTCTGGGGTTTGGTGGGACTTCAGGTTCCACTGCATTATCCTCCTGCTGACCCTGGCCTCTCTTTTTTGCAGCTCCCTTAGGGCCTCATTTGACTCCCTGAAGCAGCGTAAGTCACAATTGTCTTCTACTCCAGGCTGTAGGGTAAAAGGGCCTTCTGGGAACATAGACAGAGGTGGATGGATTCTGGCCAGGAGAGGAGTTTAGGCTGCACACAAGTCTGTGGGACTAACGGAGGATTTGGGATGACAGAAACTAACTTAGGTGGGATGAATGTGTATGTGGCTGACACCCATCAGTCTGATGTGGGAGACCAATGTCTATACTCTGCCCTCAGAAATGGAAGACATTGGCAACTCCCACATGCAGCTGGCCCTGGCCCTGCGTGAGGAGCTCCGCAGCCTTGAGGACTTCCGAGAGAGGCAGAAGGAGCAGAGAAAAAAGGTGAAGCAGGTGCTGGGGTGTTCCTCCATCACCAAGACCCCAAGTGGGAGGTGGCCATCTTCACTCTGGAGGTGGGAGGAGATGGACCCTAGGTCAGTGTATGTGAGTGAGTGACCTAGGGCCTTCCCACCAAAATAAAGTCCCTGGGGCCAACGGTCCCATGGAGTATGGGGGCAGTACCCCAGGTTTGGGGGTGAGGGTGATTTGAAGTAAAAAGGGAAGGGCTCAGCTCACAGGCCTAGGAGCCCCCCTGGGGGTCCTTCCCTGAGCCATCAGAAAGAGGAGAAGACATCAGTCTTGTTGACCATCCTATCACAGCAGACTGTAGAGGGACAGTGACAGCTTGGAATTATCCAAAGAAAGAAAACTAAATTGGGGAGTCACCAAAGACTGGTCCTGAGCCCAAGGATCCAAGCTGTTTTTCTGGGAGAAAAGCAGACCTGGAACCAGTCACTGGCCACTCTGCAGTGCTGCCCAAGGCTGAGGGGGGAAACATAGCCTGTTGGTATTAGGGGGTGTTACGCTTACTTCAGCATCCACAATACTTCTCACCCAGGTGTAAGGCATGGCTATTTCTAGATGGAAGAACTGCATGGAAAGGAAGTGAGGCTCTCTCATGGGAAGTGTGCAAGCAGAGGTTGAAGGCTATGTGTCAGAAAAGCTGCAGTGGTGGGGTGGGAGGTGGGCTTGGTGATCTCTGTGACCCAGAGTCCCCTCCCAAAACCTGAGACTGATTGGCTGAGTATATGGCCTGCTGGGAGGACAAGTGAGGACACATGCTCAGACTCTAGGGTCTTAGTGATAAGGGTATTGCTCTGGACAGGGAGGGAGACATCAGCACACAGAAATATTTCTTACTTGGAGAGAAAGGATTCTTGTGAAATATACAAAAAAAATGAAAATGGAAACGTCCATACAACTGAGCTGTAAAGGAGAAAAAGGTGTCAGCTTATTGTTGGGGCTAGGCTGGGCTTTGGTGTCCTCACCCAGCTACTTCCCCTCTCTGTGCCTCAGTTTTCTTCTTGCAGGATGGGACATTTATGCCCACTGCCTAAGCTTTGGGTATCCATCCCAGACCAGGTCCCCATTAGTCTTCACAGATAGGGCACCAGCTCTAATTATTGGCTCTGGCCACAGAAATTCAATGTGGCTGCCCTCCCTGTCTACCCATCTGGCCAGGTAGGGTCTCAGACTTTTGGGATTCTAAATTTGGGTTCCTGAGCAGACAGTGGGTCCCCAAAGCTAGCTCCAGAAGCCTGTGCTACCTTGAGATGCTGGAACAGGTGACTTTTTGGAGAGGGGACTTGCCTGTAGAGCATGCAGAGCACTTGCTGTGACAGTGAGGCCCCAGGCTGGCTACTTTAAGCTCTCCTGTGGCCAGAAGGTCTACATGTTTGCAAAAGCTGTTTTGGACAGACCAACACCTTCCCTAGATCGGCCAGAACCTCCACAAGTTGAGAGCTGTGATATAGTGTTAGGGGAAGCCTGCCTGGGCATATGTGTGCACATGCTTGGGCATGTGTGTATGTGGGCCTGTATGTGTGTGTGTGTGTGTGTGTGGGTTTGTAGGCACACATGTGTGCACACCTATGAGCATGTTCGTGTGCCTCAGTGTATTTGTATGTGACCAGGTGCTTGCCTGAGATCTCTCCACTGGCACATGCCCTACTGTGACCTCAGACACAAAATGGCTCCAGCCCCAACATAAGGGTCATTTCATTTCTGATTCTTCTCACAGCTTATTCCAATTCTCTGTCTAGGCTGAGTTTTGTCTTCTCTATTTGAACAAGCTGCCTGGGAGGAGAGTTGAAGGTGCAATGGCCTGTGTACCTGCGTGTGGCCATGACTAAGTGTGAATAGGCCTGTATAAGGGGAACATAGGAGTGTGCTTGTGTATACTTGTGAATGGTGTCTATGGGCACTCTGTGAGTGTGTATGTGAAGGCCTGTGTATGCAAGTAGGAGCAGTGGGAGCAATGGAGCAGTGAGAGCAGTAGGATCATGGGGGCCTTTTAGTGTGTACTTCTGCATGTGTGTCATGTGGAACTAACGTGTGTACACAGTGTGTGACAGCTGTGAGTGGGTGCAGAGGCTTGTGAGGACTCTGTGTATGTGTGTGTGTGTGTGTGTATGTGTATGTATGTATACACATGTAAGTTGGATATTCTCCAGCTACAGACCAAGTCCTGGCTGGAGTCTGCAGCCAATGAGAGGACACGGTGGACATACACCTGTCCTGGGCTTCTCTAGCTTTCTGTTCTGAGCAGTAATTGTAAAAGAACAGGCAATAGGAGAGGAGGACATCTTGTCACTATGCCTTTCAGAGCTGGGAGAGGGGGAAAAGTGCTACACCTCATCCCAGGGGAGCCCCATCCTCTTGGCCTAGGGGACTGTTCATAGGCCACAGCCTCCCCCTCCCCCCCACTAAGAGCTTCATGTCCCCTGCAGTACGAGGCTGTCATGGACCGTGTTCAGAAGAGCAAGCTGTCACTCTATAAGAAGGTCATGGAGGTGGGTGCAAGGCTCTTGGGCCGTGAAGGATGCAGAGCCCAAAGTGTGGACCCCAGGAGACCTAGGATGGGCACCTGGGAGAAGGCTTGCCTCAGATCTTTATCCAGGAACATCCATGTGTTCGGGGCTGCACTGGGTACCAAAGCCCCACATGGATCAGCCCTGGCACTGTTCATGGGAGACTCTTGACTGATAGGAAGGTGGTCAGTATCAAACAGTGGCCCACAGTGTGATCCATGCTGTCAGCTGTAGACTCCAAGGGTGGAGGGAGAAGGGACCCCTGAGCTGTGTCTCTTAGGATACTGGGTGAGGAGAAAAAGGTTCCATGAAAGGGGATAGCATGTGCAGAGGCTATTAGTATCATGAGGATGCAAGGTATTTTCAGGGACTTACTGGTGGTTTAATATGATCTCCCCTCTGAAAAGGCTGGGGCCTTGGGCAGGGCTACAATGTCCCCAGTGGGTAGAGGTATGGGAACAAGACTCCCTCTCCCTCTTATTCTGGACCTTCAGATCCCTGTCCCTGGGGAGGAGGCCCCCTCTCCATTCATAGCCCCTAACAGGAAGAAGGGAGACTGGGCTCAGAGAGCCTCACTCTGGGCCCCCGCAAGTCACACCCTTGTACATGTCCAGTCCAAGAAGACATATGAGCAGAAGTGCCGGGACGCAGATGACGCCGAGCAGGCCTTCGAGCGTATTAGCATCAGCGGCCAACAGAAACAGGTGGAAAAGGTTTGTGGGGCCACTGAGGCCATATGTTGTCTCCCAGAGTTGGGGCAGGGTAAGTAAGGCAGGGAAGGGGTACAGTAGGACCCCACCCCAACCAGGCAAGGTCTGCATATGGAACATACTAGCTTCCCACCCCTCTCTGAACTTCACATTCTCATCTGTAAAATGGGTTTCCTAGAATCTTGGGGCATGAATTTACAGGGTCAGCTTGATCCCCTTTTGCCATCTCCTGGCTACACCCAAGGACCAATTCCTCAAAGCAAGCCCTCTGCAGCCCAGGCCCAGAGATCACAGGGCAATGAGAGCAGATGCTAACTCTCACATAACCCTTGGAGAGGGGCACAGTGGGCCCATGTCACAGAAAGAAAACTAAGGCCCAGTGATGGTGAGTGGATTGTCCAAGGTCTCAGTGCCAGGAAGCAACAGAGAAAGGATCCAAACCTAAGTCATCCTGAGCCCAAACTCATGATTACTCTGGTCTCTGGGCCAGAGTGGGGGTAGCAGAGCTACCAGAGCCCAAGAACACCTTTTGCCCATTGCATATACAGGAAAACTGAGGCCCAGAGAGGGCAGGAGGTTGGGGGTGAATTTGGGGGCAGCAAGTTGGGAACCAGAGCCTAAGTCCCAACCAGTAGATTCAGCACTGGCCACATGGAGCCTCAGGTCCTGACTCCTGATTTATATTTCTCTTTCTAGGTCCTGATATCTAGTTTTCATGGGCTGCAAGTTTCTGTTTTTACTTCTTTTTTATTAAAACCTTTTTTATTGTAGTCCTTTGTGGGGTGAAGCTGGAGTAAATGATGGAACTTGTTCACAAGTTGGCTCCTGAGTGTCCCCTGGGTGGTCAGGGAGGGTTGTGACAGAGGCACTTCAGTCACCCAGGAGGCTGGGAGTCCTAAGCTGGGTCTGGGTAGTCTCCAGAACAGAGGCTCAGCACTGTTTTTCCTTTGCCTCCTCAGAGCCAGAACAAAGCCAAGCAGTGCAAGGACTCAGCCATGGAGGCAGGTAGGTGGCCCACCTGCCTCCTTAGACCTAGGCGGTGGATTGGACAGACCTTCCCAACACTGCACACTTTCCTACCCTGGGGATGTACAAACTCACAGGTGACTACAGTGTCATAAGTCATCACTCTCACTTCCATACTTACGCAAGTAAAATAAAAATATTCATGTTCTCTCATTTGCCAAGACTATTCTTGGTGCTTTAACTAATTTGCACAACAATCCTATGAGGTGACTGATATTATTATTATTATCCCCTTTTTTAACAGATGAGGCACAGAGAGGTTAAATAACTTGCCCAAGGTCACGGAGTCAATAGTGGTGTTGACTACATTCCAACCAAAGTCATCGGGGTCTAGAGTACAGGACTTTCACAGTCACCATCATGGCAGACAGACCCACTCAAATCTCTCTTCTCTCTCTCTCTCTCTCTCTCTCTCTCTCTCTCTCTCTCTCTCTCACACACACACACACACACACACACACACACACACACACACTGCCTTCTCTGGGTCTGTCTCCTCTGTCTTTCACCTGATGCCAAAAACCCAATACCACTTGTCTCTACCAGCATACCTCTTAGGTCAGAAATTTCACCCTGCTTCCTTCTCCTGAAAAGGGTCTCCCTTCTGCTCTGCCTCTCCATGGCCAAGCCTGCTGAGTCCCCAGCCCAACAGCTACCATACTCCTCCCTACTCTCCTTCAGTACTGCCCTCAGTTTCTCATCTGGAAAGTGAGAGGGTGGGACCCAGGAATGGCAAAACATCTGGACTCTGGCTTTGGATATATGGGCTCCGCTCCAGACTTGGGCAATTCAGAGCACAACAGAGTCACCCCAAAAGGGGCAGTACCATAGTGGGTGGCCCTGACAAGTGCCCAAATGAGGTACCAGCAGCCAGGGCAGGTTTGTCTGGGGAAGAGGGCACTCTGAGCAGGAGCATTGCAGGAACCAAGGGGCGAGCAGTGGAAGCAGGTGTCTAGGCTGTTGGCCTCCCTGAGGGCCACTTGTGTTTCTAGAGCGGGTGTACAGACAGAACATTGAGCATCTGGAGAAGGTACGAGGCGAGTGGGAGCAGGAACATCAAACCACCTGTGAGGTGAGTTACACTGGGCCTCAGTTTCCCCAGCTACAAAATAGGAAAGACATTCGTCCCTGCTCCAGCCACTTCATGGGGGGAAATAAGGCAGTGGGGTGGGGGAAAAGCCTTATTCCTTCATTCATTCACTCATGCATTCACTCTCCAGTCCCCTGCTGGGTCCCTAACCCAGGGAGCTCACTGCCTAGCTTTATGTACTGGCTCCCTTTGTTTCAGGCAGGCATCCTTCATCCCTTTTTGTTGAAGCCAAAACTGAGACCCAGACAAAACCCATAGCTTCCTTGGGCCCCTCAGGACTGCTCCTCTCATGACATCTTCCTGGGGCCTTTCCAGTGTGTGGTAGGGCTTGGAAAGAGGGTGGAGGCAGGAACTCCACAAGGAACACAACCTCCCTATCAAAAGCCTGAGGTGCTGGCACAGATGTGGGGGTGGAGACCTCCAGCAAGGGTTTTTTGGTTAAACTTGGCTTTCAGCAGAGGGAGTCTGGCTTGTCAGCCCCAGCTGAGCTGTTGAGTGGGGCCCAGCCTGGCCTGGCTCTGCAGCTCCCTTCTCACTTCTCATCTCCCTCCCTCCCATAACCAGGCCTTCCAGCTTCAAGAGTTTGACAGGCTGACCATCCTCCGAAATGCCCTATGGGTGCACTGCAACCAGCTCTCCATGCAGTGCGTCAAGGATGATGAGGTCAGGGGGCCAAGGACGGGGAGGGAACAAAGTGATTTGGTAGGGGAGGGGCATAAAGAAAGGGCAACTTCTGGGCAACAGTATGCCCAGGTCCCTCTGGGTCTGTCAGCAAACACCTTAGGCTTCAATCTGTGCCCCAGGACCCCAAGGACAGGGAAGTCAGTATTGTCCAGGGTTATGGCCTCACTGCCTGGAAGACTGTGCTTCTGTGGTTACCCTGGCATCTGCCTTCTTTCCTCACCCTTAGTCCAAGGTCTTGACTCTACTCTGAGTATGTGTTCTTTCTGCCCTTGTTAAGAAGAGAGGTGAAAAGAGGCCTGCAGAAAGGCTGGAGGATGCTGGGCTGCTCTGCTCTAGGCTTCCCCTTTGTAGGAACTGAGGTCCAGTCCCTTTTCTGTCCCCCAGACATCTCTTGGGTATTCTGGTTCCCTTACTTAGCTAGATGAAGATGCTGGGTGATTGGGGTGGGTCCTACCCAGCAGAAAGGGGCCAATACCTCTCTACCAGGGTCTCTGACCACTGTTAATATAACTCCAGAGCCATGAGCTCTCTTGAGGCAGCTCTGACTCCCTGGTGCTCACTGCTGTTCTTTACCTGATCTCTCCTCCATGAGCTGTAAGGTTTTGGGTCCCTCCCTCCACCCAAATGACTTGAACCCACCTGAGTGGCCTCCTGTGGCAGAGGAAGAAAGGTGGGCTCTTATCCTGCCATACTGGAATAAAGCTCAGCTGCACTGAATTCTTGCTCTGTGATATTGGGCAAGTCACTTTCCTTCTCTGAGTTTCCTCATCTCTAAAATGGAGGGAATAATATCTACTATAGAGGACAGAAGTGAGTTAAGTCCCTTGCATAGGGTCTTGTGCCTAGGAGGTGCTCAGGAGCCAGGAGATGCTATCAGCCAGGGCTCTGACCCCTTAGGAAGGCCTGGGACAGATACACCCCAAGACTCCTCTGAATACAGGCACTGAGCTGTGCATAGAAGGCCTGTGAGGTGGTGGAAGCCCCTGGCCAGAGTTCAGAGTCATAGAAAAAGAGGGCTGTGATGAGGATGAACATTGAGGTGAAGCCTGGCCCCTCAGCCTCTGTTCTTTCCCACCTCCAGCTCTACGAGGAGGTTCGGGTGACGCTGGAAGGCTGCAGTGTGGAAGCCGACATCAACAGCTTCATCCAGGCCAAGAGTACAGGCACTGAGCCCCCAGGTAAAGCCCAGACCCATAGGCAGCATGGCCTCTGGGTCCAGGCCTGTCTGTCCCTAGGAAGCCTTGCCCAAATTCTCTGAGCCTCAACTGCCAAGACAGGACTCGGGTGGTTCATAGATCCCTTCTGGGTGGAGGAGATGTGGCCAGATCTCAGGGAGGGGCCAAGGATAGTATGTTCCCCTAAGGCAGAGGATGAGCAGAGCTTAATAACACTACAATATTCAGAAAGGGAGTGGATGTGGAGAGCCTCTTCAGAGCCCCTACCCCAGCCAGTTTGGTTCCTCTAAATTATGAGTCCAGAATATTCATTCTTGGTGGTGCCCACAGTGGGGTCTCTCATAGAAGTGAGAGAGGCCTGTTCCTCAAATGTAAGGGCAGGCCAGGGCCAAGGATGGGAAAGTAGGGCCCCAGTCTGGTTTTCTGGATGGGGACAGGTTGGGGTATCAGGTGGCAGAGGTTTTTCCTGCCCTGCCCTTGGCCACCCTGGACCTCACAGCTTACTACCTATAGCTCCAGTACCCTACCAGAACTACTATGATCGGGAAGTCACCATATCATCTGGCAACCCTGGCATACAACCTTCCTGTGGCATGATAAAAAGGTGAGACACCTACTTTGATGCTGAGGTGGGGGATATAAAGGGGAAGGGGGGAGAAGCAGGTCCAGACTCTCTTCCTTCACCTGGCTGTTTCACGTGTATTTATTAACCATCTACTATGTGCCTGATGCAGTGTTCAAGTGCTGAGTACTCTCTGGGAACAAGACAGCTTCAACCTGACTTCATGACACCTTCACCCCAAGGGGGCCCAGGCATTAAACAAATAATCACATCCAACTTATTCATTAGTGAATGCTGAGAGCTCCAGGGAGTCCCAGCATACACCTTAGGCTTCAACCTCTGGGCTGACTTCCTTTTCTCTGGTAGGGGACCCTGCTGCTAACTTGGGTTGGTGCCCTGGACTGTCAGGCTACAGTGAAGACACTCTCCCTCTGGTGCAGGATCAGGGCATAGGAGCAGGCCTCACAGCCAGTACTTTTGGAAAATTCTCCAGGCTCTTCAGGAGCCCTTCCTTGGCCTAGCTGTGATAAGATCCTAGTGCCATGTCTCAGTGTATCACTTGCACAAGTCACTCTCCTTCTTTAGGTCTAGGGCCCATGAGTGTTGGGATCAGACTCAGAACCAAAGGATCCTGTTGCTTTAGGCCTTGGATGACAGGCAACTGTAGCACCTTAGCCTGCTCAGAGAGCACCCCCAGCAGCCAGATTCTGGAGGGGCCCATATACCCTGTCTATGGGCATCTAGGAGCATCTGTGGGTTTTACATGGTACCTGTACCCAACCCTCAGCCTGAGGCTGTCATGACCTCCTCTCTCCAGCCAACCTTGTGCAGAGAAGGCCCTGCCTTTGGGAAGTAGACAAGGGAAATGGGGTGGGACTGGAGCGGGGGTGGGAGGGGGGTTGTCGATGGAGCTCCCAGCCCTCTGAGGACTACTCATTTCCAAGACCTCAGGAGCCCCATGCAGGAAGCCTCCAGGAAGCAGAGGCTCATGAGAACCACCTCAGCTCAGAGCAGGGAGCACAGCACACTCCTCTGAGAACTTCGACAAGGCAGTGGCCCCAGAAAAAGGACATTCATAACCTCACAATGTTACCCAAAATCTTGGGGTATTTAGGTCTCCTTGCACCCCCAATGAGGACATGTATCCCATCATAGGTGGTCATTTAAAAAAAAAAAAAGGATGAAAAAGCTTACCTGGGACAGTGTCAACAAAGGACAGAAATGAAACATGACAAAGATACCCACTCAGACTATTACTGAATATAGTGTTGGAAGTCTTAGCCACAGCAATCAGACAAGAAATATAAATAAAAGACATTCCAAATTGGAAATTAAGAAGTAAAACTATCATTATTTGCAGATGACATGATACTATATAGAGAGAAACCCAAAGATTCCACTCAAAAATCTATTGGATCTAATAAATGAATTCAGTTAAATAGCAGGATACAAAATTAATATTCAGAAGTTGGTTGCCTTTGTGTATACCAATAATAAAAGAGAAATTAAGAAAACAAATCCATACATAATTGCATAAAAAAGAATAAAATACCTAGGAATAAATTTAAGCAAGGAGGTAAAAAATCTATATTACGAAAACTATAAGACATTGAAGAAGACACAAATAAATGGAAGCATATACCATGCTCATGAAGAATTAATATCATTAAAATGCCAATACTACCCAAAACAATCTATAGATTCAATGCAATCCCTATCAAAAGACCAAGGGCATTTTTTTTTTACAGAACTAGAACAAATAATCCAGAAATTTATATGGAACCATATAGAGCCCAAATAACCACAGCAATCTTAAGAAAGAAAAACAAAGTTGGAGGTATCATATTACCTGATAGCACTGTAAGGCTATAGTAAACAAAACAGCATGGTAGTGGCATAAAAACAGACACATAAGTCAATTAAACAGAATAGAGAGCCTAGAAATAAACTCATGCCTGTATGGTTAATTAATCTATGACAAAGGAGGCAAGATTAAAGATAAAGGGTTAAAGACAGTTTATTCAATAAATGGTGTTGGGAAAAATTGGACAGATACATGCAAAAAAATGAAGTTAAATCACTTTCTTATACCATATACAAGAATAAATTCAAAATAGATTAAAGACTTAAATGTAAGACCTGGAACCATAAAACTCTCAAAAGAAAACTTAAGCAATAAACTCTTTGACATTGGTCTTAGCAATATTTTTTTAAATATGTTTCTTCGAGCAAGGGAAAAAAAAGCAAAAATAGACAAATGTAACTATGTCAAACTTAAAAGTTTTTGTACTATGAAGGACACCATCAACAAAAGGGAAACACAACCTATTGACAAGGGGTTAATATCTAAAGTATATAAAAAACTCAGAGTTCAACAACAAAAACACAAACAATCTGATTTAAAAATGGGCAGTGGACATTTCTCCAAAGAGGACCTACAGATGGCCAATATTCATATGAAAAGATGCTCAATGTCACTAATCATCAGGGAAATGCACATTGAAACCACATGAGATATCACCTCACACCTGTCAGAATGGTTATCATTAATAATCAACAAGTTTTGGTAAGGATGTGAAGAAAAGGGAACCCTCATGCACTGTTGGTGGGAATGCAGGTCAGTGCAGCCACTGTAGAAAATAGTATGGAGTGTCCTCAAAAAACTAAAAATAGAACCCATATGGGCCAGGAATTCCACTTCTGGGTTATTTATCTGAAGAAATCCAAAACACTAATTCAAAAGTTATCTGCACCCCTATGTTCATTGAAGCATTATTTACAACAGCCAAGATATGGAAGCAACCTAAGCGCCCACCAATAGATGATTGGCTAAAGAAGATGCATTATATAGATACAATGGAATATTACTTGGCCATAAAAAATAATGAAATCTTGCTATGTGCTGGGGGGTCTTGTCCAGCATCTAGAAGAGTTCAGGAAGGGTTCATGGAGAAGGGGCTGCAGTAAATTATTATGAGTCTAGAGCAGTGATAGCGAACCTTTTGAGCTCGCTGTGTCAGCAGTTTGAAAAACCCTAACTTAACTCTGGTGCCGTGTCACATATAGAAATTTTTTGATATTTGCAACCATAGTAAAACAAAGATTTATATTTTTGATATTTATTTTATATATTTAAATGCCATTTAACAAAGAAAATCAACCAAAAAAATGAGTTCGCGTGTCACCTCTGACACGCGTCATAGGTTTGCCATCACTGGTCAAGAGACAAAACATAATTTTGGAAGGCATTTTGGGGAGCCAGAGAAGACTTAGCTACAGAAACCAAGTCCTCCTTGTCTCAGGACCCCTTGCTTTTTATTAACACAAATTGTCCTAAAGCAAGGTAGATATACATATCAAAGGCAAGGTTTAGTATACAGAATCCATTGTCAGATTGGGGGAACTGCCTATGGCTGTTCAGGTGTTTGGCCAGTATGAGGCAATAACACGTAAATTAAAATACTCTCAGCTGTCTGGCAGCAAGCAATCATCTATGCAAATCTTTAGGTGTGGGGAAATGCCCTTAGCTATTTCCAGCAGGCAATCCTCAAGGTTCCATCAACCTTTTGATGAAACTTCTTGCATTTATGACATGCTGGAATTAGCTTCTAGCAGCTATGTGCGACAACATGGATGGACTTAGAGGGCATATGTTAAGTGAAATAAGTCAGTCAGAGAAAGACAAATACCATACAGTTTCACTTATATGTGGACTCTAAAGAACAAAATAAAGGAACAAACAAAGCAGAAACAAACTCATACATACAGAGAACAAATTGATGGTTGTCTGATGGGAGGAAAGTTGGGAGAATGAGTGAAAAAGGTGAAGGGAATAAGAAGCACACATTGTCAGTTATAAAAATACTCACCAGAGATGTAAAGTATAGCATAGGGACTACAGGCAATAGTATTGTAATATGTATGTATGGTGCCAGATTGGTACTAGACTTATCAGGGTGATCACTTCATAAGGTATATAAATGTCTAATCACTATTTGTACACCTGTATGTCAACTGTAATTTAAAAATTGAAAAAGAAAGGACAAAAAGAAGTGCTCCGTTAAGATAAAAGAGAGAAAGGGGGGGTCCCGCTGGGTGGAGGAGAGATAGGAGGTGGGAGAGGCTGCTGTCTGGAGAGTCAAAAATTAGGCAGGGTGGGGAGGAGCAGGGAACAGTGGCTGGGAAGTGAGTGAAGGGAGGAATTGGAGTTGCTAGTGTAAACAACTCTGGGAAAGCAGGGCAGTGAGGCAGGGCACACACCAGCCTCAATGAGCTCTGCTCCTTCCAGCCACTACCTTGCTGGATTTAACCTCTCTCCCCTCCCTCAGTGTCCTCACTCCCACCAGTAGTGTGCCATAGTTGCTATGCCTGCACAGCCTGTGTTAGCAAAAGGCCTTATAATGTGTGCCAGGTAGGCCTGCCTGTCTACTCACAAGCCATTACTCCACAAATCCTGCGTGTTTGTGTGTGGGGCCAGGGGATGGGGATGGGGGGGGGGGGAATTTGGGGGCAGGAGGGGGGGAACAGCGCTGCATTGGATTCTCCAGCCTCCACTCCCCAAACTCCTCCCCCTGTCAAGTCCCTGCTCTGCACTTTTGCATCCCCTCTCCTGTTCACTGGCAATGCCTTGCACCCCAGTCTCTGCCTGTTAAAGCTAAGTCTTTCAAAATTTGACTCCACCAGGCAGCCTTTCCTGAGGCAAGTACACAGCATCAGCCTCTACTTATTTATCCTTTAGCGCTGTTAGCTTCATGGGGTAACCCCAGTATCCGCCTCTTGCTTGTTCCATTTCTTTTTTGAACCTTCATAACTCCAGCTCAGTCCAGGGCTGAGCCAGGCACAGGAGAGGGGTGAATTAGCCAAACACTGCCTACTGCAGAGATGGAGAATGTCTGGCCTGTGGGCCATATAAGGCCCTGAAAATCATTTGGTGTGGCCCTGTCAAGGCATTAGGGGTGAGTTAATTAAATGTTTGACCAAATATAGAAGGCTAGTTTTTAAGTTGACAATTTTGTATGGCCCTTGAGTGATACTATAAATATCCAAATGGCCCTTGGCAGAAAAAAGGCCCAACCAGCGTAGCTCAGTGGTTGCGCGTAATCTATGAACCAGGAGGTCACAGCTCCATTCCCGGTCAGGGCACATGCCCAGGTTGCGGGCTTGCTCCCCAAGTGGGGGGTTCAGGAGGCAGCAAATCAATTAATCTCTCTCTTCATTGATGTTTCTATCTCTCTCTCTTTCCCTCACCCTTCCTCTCTGAAATCAACTAAAAAAAGAAAAGGTTCCCCCCTCCCCCTTGTACTAGAACTCACATGTACAGTGAGTACCACTTTGCTTGGGGAGTAGCTGGGTGGGCTGGATCAGGATGGGGCCTCAGGGAGGCAGGCTGTAGACCCATGCAGATGATAATCATAGTGGGTGTGAGTGTGCCAGCCTCTGAGGGATGGCTTATTGCCCATCAGAGGAGGCTGGAGCAAGGACCTGCTGGGGCTAGGTGCTGAGAGGAGGTTACAGTGTGAGGTTCTGAGAGGGTGCTGCTGGGAAAAGGCCACTGGAACCACCCTTTGGGGAACCCTCATGCCTGAGGAGCACCCCATAAATCACATCAGAATCTGGAGGCTGGAAGTAGCCCCACCACTAGAGCTCTGAGGGCTCCCTGCCTTATTCCCTCCCTGAAGGACCTACCTGCTTTCTTCCCTGTCCTTAGATTCTCTGGGCTGCTGCATGGAAGTCCCAAGACTGCACAGTCAGCAGCCTCTGCAGGTAACTGGCTGGGTGTGATGTGGGGACCTCCAAACAACTGTGATCCAGGGGTGAAGGAGAGGACTTTTACATGCCCAGATGGGCCCTCCAACTACTATGGGGAGAAAAAGGCTAAGCCACTCTGGGGATGCTCCATGCAGGGGGGCCTCCAGGGACCAATGTCCTATGAAAGGGGTGGGCTCCAGGCCTCACTCTGCTCTCAGCCTCCACAGACACCCTGACTCCCACCCCCAATCAGAATGAGGGTGTCTACGTTGCTGTCGCAGTGCAGGAGGCACCAGGACCCCCGACCCTGCCAGCCCGGGACTACAGGGTGGTCTATGACTACAAAGCCCAGGTGAGGCCCTTGCCCTCCTCTCCTTCTCAGCAGGGCACAGGGATACCCAAGGGTGAGTTCATACGTAGGTACATGAACTGTAAGTATGCTCTATGTGTTTGTCCTTAAAGTTGCACCCAGCACTTAGGAGGGGCTCTATAAGTATCTGTTGAGTGAATGTTGATGAATAGGGTACCAGGGCCCGTGTCTCCCTGAATCTGTTCACACACATACATGTGGTGCCCAGATACTGACATTGTATGTGCCCTTGTGTGCATCCATGTACACATGTACAGTCAGATTGACAGAACTTGAGCTACCTGCAGAAAATGGTCCAAGGTTCAAGCTCTGCACCCTCAGGTTAGGGCTCTGTTCTCCATGGCATTGGGTGCCAAAAACATGGCCAGAATAAGTCCCACAACTGTGCTGGGGGTTTGGTTTTGTGTGGTCCATGTGGAGATGATGGGTCAAGGAGTCACAGGGCAGCTGTGCCGAGTTCCCCATAGAGTCTGAACTGTTCCCTGCTTTGGGGTGAAGGATATAGAGACAGACCCCATATCAGTCTGGACTGAGGCCAAGCACCCACTCAGGCTGGGTGGGCTGCAAAGTAGATTGCCAAATCAGTCTGGACTGATTCCCAAAACCCTGGCAGGGGAGACAGGCCAGAAGAAGGATTGTGTGTTTGTGATAGGGGCAAGCAGAACTGAGGAAACTCAAGGGAGCTCACCAGCAGAGGGGAGGCTGTGTAAGGTACCCCTTGGGCATGGTCATGACCAGTACACCTGGCCCCTGACTTACTAAGGTCACTGTGTGCCTAAAGCAGAGTGAGAGAAGGGACAACAGGGAAGAAGCTGGGTTTGTGGGAGGCCTGCAATGACAAACCAGGAGGCTGGGGTGGACAGGCGGCTGAGTCCCATGTCCCACACCCCATGTCTCCAAGGGCTGCTCCAGCCAAGAGAGAGGCCTTATTCTATAGCCCCAGGAGGATGGGCATGTCTCAACTAACTCAGCCCACATAGGAACAAGCTCAAATTTATGGCTTGGGGAGGGGGTTTGCCCAACCAGACCCTCTAAACAGGCCCCTCCAGCTTGATGCATTTTCATTCTGTTGCCAAGAATTCTGATGAGCTGGACATCTCTGCTGGGGACATCCTGGAGGTCATCCTAGAAGGGGAGGACGGCTGGTGGACAGTGGAACAGAATGGGCAGCGTGGCTTTGTACCTGGTTCCTATCTGGAGAAGCTCTGAAGAAGGGGCAACAGCCCCCACCTGGACCTGCCCTATCTGTGGGGCCAGCAGTGTCTTTGTCACTGCAAGGCTGAGTCTCCAAGACCAAGCCAGCCCCCCAACCCCATTCGTGCTGGCTGCTCCCATAGCAGTCTCTCATACAGGGAATAAAGGAGTACATTCTTCCTCCTTGGTCTGTGGAGGTCCATGTCTCTCTTAACCCTGCCCCGTGTCCAAGTGCTCAATTCAGAGGAGACAAAGGAGTGAAGGGAGAAGTTTGGGAGAGCAGAGTTGCCCACTTCTAGTGAGACTCTGCCAGGATTGGCTAGGGATGAAAAGGAGCCCTGATCACAGTCCCTGGAAAATCCCAGACTGCCAGAAAGATACTTTCACACTCAGGGAAATGGGAGAAGACCATGGGGATCAGGGAGGAGGGAGGAGGAGCAAAAAGGGGCTCAGGAGAGCTGGGATGGGGGAACCAGGCTTCCTGGAAGCAGAGGGGCTGGAGCAGGGCCTCTGGTGTGCAGTAGCAGATAGGACACAAAGAAGAGAAAATCATCAGGGCCAGACAGATATGTGAGCACAAGGAGGAGTCAGGAATGCCTGGAACATTCAAGGGACAAGCCATGCTCTGTTTGGGGCAGGAAACAGTAGATGGGACCACTGGAGGTGGAAGGGCCTTGGTGGGAAATTGGAAAGGCAGGCTTAGAGGCTTAAAGTTCAAGGGATCCTCACTGTCTCCCTGACCCAGCTGGGGCCCAGGGAAGCCAGTGCTGCCTGTGTTTCTCCCTCTCAAACATGGAAATCCTGCCCAGACAGGGGCTCACAGCCTATGCAGGCTGACCCAGGGCAGAGGTGGGCATGCTCCTCTTTGGTTCTTGATGCTCTCAGGCCTCTCTTTCTTTGGATCCAGGCCCCCAAAACATAACTTCTACTGTTGGCCAAGACCTGGCAAAGTCATGCTCCAGTCATGGTGAGCTCCATCCATGCCAAAGGCTTCAGGAATGGGTGTGCGGATAGAGCCTATGGGAACTGGTAGCTCTGCAGTCCTGGGCCTCCCCTGCACTAACCTGTGGGAGCCCCAACACTCTACCAGCACAACAGTCCAGCAGCCCACCCCAACTCAGAGCCAGAGAGACTTTAGGGAATGGGGTGGGACACATGTGGTTCTCTCCACTGGACATACCTTGAAAGACACTGTTGAGGGTGTTATTGTCCCCTATAGACCATCTTTCTCTGGAACTGTAAGTTACTTTGCTTGTTTATTCATAAACCTTTGTGGCCTTCCCCCTGCAAAAGCAAGATGAATAAAGCCTCAGTCTCTTGCTTTACTCAAAGAGCTCTTGACTCAGTGAAGGGGACAAAACAGCCCAGAAAGTTACTGATGATACAGGATGTGTAGAGTAGTCATGAGGCTTCTGGAACAGGTGACCTGAGGTAAACCAAGGAAACAGGGAAGCTGTTCCCAGAGAGGAAAGGAGGGTTCCTTTCCATTCCTGCCTGCTTCTGGTAACCACACAAAGGGCAGGGAGAAGGTTCATGTATGCAACAGAGAAGGGAGTGAGTGTCATCAATGGAACTCCTCAGGATTTAGAATTAGAAGAGACTCTGAAAGGACTAATCTAACCTACTTCATGATGCCCTCCCTGTCACTCCTGAAGACTGGGCACTGGGCACCTCAGTTGTCTTCAACATCTCTGACGACAGGGTGATCAAGATAACCATGGAAGTCTGCAGTGGACCAGTGGCTTTCTACTGGTCCTGGCTTTGCCTGGATGGCCATCTACCTGGCAGCCTTATGAAGGATCATCCCACATGCCCAGGCAAGTTCCAGATGCCACAGGAGCAAGCTCTGCCCTAGGAAGAAGGCAAGGAGGGAGCTGGTAAAGGAGGCTGCTCTTATGTTTACAGCAGATGTCTATCTTTGTGCCCTCATCTTCATGACTTGAGCAAAAAAATGGGTGTGATTAAGCAAACATGATACCTGGTACAGGATAGGGTGGGCTTTCTTCTTTCAGGAGGAAATGTGCCTTTGGATTATATCCTCTCACCCCAGTCTCAAGTGTGTGGGCACCTCAGAAGTCTACAAAGCATTCAAGCTGGGGACAGGTAGAGATGAAAAGGCACAGGCTGCCCCATGGTAGGTCCTAGAAGCAGAACCAGGCTAGTCCTCTGCTAGTGTCACTTACCACAGCTTTAACTAGAGGGTGTGGGGCAGACAGGGTGGGAAAAGGCTTTGGGTCTCTGAAACAAAAATCATAGTGAGGTTTAAATCCTTCCTGAAATGTCATTTCTTTCATAAAGCACATCCTGAAATAATTGACCAAATGTCCACACCTGTCGCTGACCCATCTGAGGTTTATACAAAGGGATATCTGGAGAGCTAAAAATGTAATCTAATGCTTGGTCTTATACCTCCCTGGAGAGAGAGAGAAAGAAGTCAGTGAATAAAGGCATGGCTATGAAAATGCTTGCTCTGAGCACAAATGTTACCCAGGTACAAGATTTTGGCCTAGATATTTATCGTATCTGGCAGATGCCAGCAGTATTTATGAGTTCCATAGGTGATGGGCAATGAGTGTTTCATAACACCGTCTGCAATTCATTCAGGTAATCAGAGAATTTATACCAGAGAAAACACACACACACACACACACACACACACACACACACACACACACACGAATCTAAGTCAGATTCACTGTTTCTACAGCTTTCTCCATTCTGTCTGTGCACCAGGTCACAACCTCAGCTTCTGGGAACCAATCGCATGGACAGTGTTCCCAACAGAGGAGATAGTGCCAGATAAAGGGGGAGCTGGCCTCTGTAACTGGGTGCATAAATAATCACAGCCCTCTTCCTGATAGAGGGCTGCTCAAAGGCAGAATGGAGCAGGGGAAAGCATGGCCTCTGAAGTCAGAACGTCAGGATCTGAATCCATGCTCATACTTCTTTGTGTATCCTCAGGAAAGTCACAATTTCTCTGGACCTAAGTTTCATCATCAGTAAAATGAGGGCAATAAGCCCCTGTGCAAATTGAAACTAGATAGGAGAGATAGTTGCACAACACTGTGAATGTACTAAATGACACTGAATTGTTCACTTTAACATGGTTAATTTATGCTATGTGAATGCACCTCAATAAAAAAGTCATTAAAATTTTAAATGCCTGACAGTATGTGTATGAAGGTGTTCACTGCAGCAAAGTTGAAATCAACCTGAATGATTATCTATTGTACATTGGTTACTCATGGTATTAATATACCCATCCAGTAAACAAAAGGAATGATAAATCCTACAGTCTGACAGAAATAGTAGCAAAATATGTTGTGAAGAGAAAAAGTGAACCTTGTAAAAGAGGATTCAGGTAATAGTGAAGCAATACCACAACCACAAGTCTGTATGTAGAGAAAGTACAGTTCACCCTCCAACAACAGGGGTGTTAAAAGAAATGGACCCTAGCCACCCACAGTAGAAAATCCACATATAATTTTTGACTATCCCAAAACTTAACTATAGTCCCTTGGTATCTATGGGAGACTGGTTCCAGGAACTCCTGCAACACCAAAATCCATGGCTGCTTAAGTCCCTTATATAAAACTAGAGGCCCAGTGCACAAAAATTTGTGCACTGGCGAGGGAGGGGGGGGGGGATGTTCCTCAGCTCCACTTGTGCCCTCTCACAGTCTGGGACCCCTTGGGAGAAACCACCTGCTGGCTTAGGCCTGCTCCCCGGGTGGCAGATGGTAGGCCCGATCCCTCGGTGCCTGCCCTGCCTCCCTGGGTCGCGCACACAGCAGGGCTGATCCGGGGGTTGGGGTGCTGCCCCGGTTCGGGTTGCACATGGGATGCCTGGGCAGGCCGGCCGATCGCTGCTGCCCTGCCTGGACGCCCTGGATCAGGTCGCACACGGATGCCCGTAGCCCCAGGTTGCAGATAGCAGGCCCGGATGGCGGCAGGGCAGGCGGGATGGCGCTGTCCTGCCCCACCGCCCTGGGTTGCAAATAGCAGGCCCAAATGGCAGCGGGGCAGGAGGGATGGCACTGTCCCACCCTACCTGCAGTATGCAAATTAGCCACCATCTTTGTTGGCGGTTAATTTGCATATTGCACTGATTAGCCGATGAGAGGCGTAGCGAAGGTGTGGTCAATTACCATGTTTGTCTATTATTAGATAGGACTAGTGGCTCAGTGTGCAAAATTGCACGCAGTAGTCCACCCGCTGTCCATCACAGGAGCCAGTGGGAGCTGTACTGCTTCCATGGGAGGGAGGCAGGAGGTGGGAGGAAGCCGAGCTGCTTCTGCGGGAGGTGGGAGGGAGCCACCGCCACCCACGGGAGCTGGGCAGGCAATCAGGGGATGGTGCTGGCCCCCATTGACCTGCCACTGGTCACCGCCACCCCCCCCCCCACCAATCGCCATCCCCTCCTTCTGCCTGCTGGCATGTGCCTTGGCTAGCCTCGTGCTACCTGCTCACTGGCTCCCAACCCCCACTGACTGGTTGTTCTGCCATTCGGTCGATTTGCATACTATGCTTTTATTATATAGGATATATATATATATATATATATAGAGAGAGAGAGAGAGAGAGAGAGAGGGGGGGGGCAGTGCATGAAATTCATGTACTGTTGGGGTCACTCAGCCCAACCTGCTCCCTCTCGCAGTCTGGGAAACCCTTGGGGCATGTCCAACACTTGGACATCCATCTCACAGTCTGGGAACCCTCACTCCTTATCACCCACCTGCTCACTGCTCCTTACTGCTCCCCACTCCTTACTGCTGCTGCAGAGGCTAGAGAGGCTCCTGCCACCAGTGCTGCACTTGCCAGCTGTGAGCACGGCTTCTGGCTGTGGGAGCTCACTGACCACCGGGGGCAGCTCCTGCATTGAGCGTCAGCCCCTGGTGGTCAGTGAGCATCATAACAACCAGTCATTCTGGTCGTTCTGCCATAATGGCCGCTTAGGTTTTTATTATATAGACAAGAAGCCCAGTGCATGAGATTTGTGCACTCACGGGGGTGGGGGGCCCTCAGCCCAGTCTTCACCCTCTCACAGTCCAAGAGCCCTGGGGGGATGTCTGACTGACAGCTTAGAGTGCAGGCCTAAGCCACAGTAGGACATCCTTAGTGTTGCCACAGAGGCAGAAGAGGCTCCCGCCACCACCACTGCACTTGCCAGCCATGAGCCCGGCAT